TTGGATTGGTGGTAGGTCCCAACAAATATCAGAGCCTATTAAATTAATAGTTATGAATAATTATGTTAGCAAATTAGATCAATAAATTGAACAGTTCTACTTAGAAATAATTTATTGATCTAATTTATTAGCATAATCATTCATAACCATTAGTTTAACATGCCCTAGTATTTGTTGGGATCCACAATAAATTCAATAACTATAATAGATTAAATTAGATCAACAAATTACGTCCAAATATAAGTGTGTGTATATATATATATACACACACTCTGCATGAGACTCATTCCAATTATTCTTCATCATACAACAATATAAACAATGAAAAGGGGGTGGGTGATGGACAATTTTGACTATTTATGGGTTCTTTGACTGGTTTCCTTTGTTGTCATCCAAGTAGGCCTTTAAGTATTAAGCTACACATAGCTAAGGCAATTACTTCAGTTTGGAATGGGATGTTGATGCTCAAATCAGGACCGTTGATCTAAAGATTCTTAGTCAAAATTCAACAATCTTGAGTTTGACCTTACATGTGGAAGGTGAAGCATTCCAACCTAACAACTAAAACATGAGGGGATATCTTTAGGAAAGTGTCAATCCACCTAACTGATTACGTCTAGGGGATCATATCTATTTTCATTTATATTTTTTTAGTACATTCTTCGTCGATTTAGATTTATCTGAAATTTTAATCTGTATGCGGTGCACGATAATTTGACTCGTACTAAGAAAAATAATCGGTATAAAGATTAAACATACCATACATTTAGAGCATCATCTCTATTTTTATTTTTTTTTCTCAGCATATTCGTCTTCATCGATTTAAGTTTATCTTAAATGTCAATCTATACCTGGTGCACGATGATTTGACTCGTATTAAAAAGAGTAAATAGTGAAGAGACTAAACATTACCATAACTACAAATAATTAAAAAAAAAAAAGATTTTGAGCAAATTTTACCCCTCTACTTGTGGTTAGACATAAGAATTGACTAGGTTTTACTTCACTAAAAAGGCATATTTTCGATTTGGTCTTATTTTCAAAGGTTTTGATTAGTCAGGCAGTAGGTATGCTGCTTTTTGCTAGCAAATGTGTCGAATTGGAGCTTTTATAAGTTTAGAGAGCATATAAGGCCGGAGCATTTTTTTGGGTTTGTTATGTCTTTAACAACTCTTTGGTGCATTGTACCATAGGTATAGTGAGATCTAACACCATTTTTTTTTTCAATGGTAAAAAATATTTTTGTGAATATACACGTATTTCAACTAATCTCTTCTCGGTTTGATCAAAAACAAAACATCTACATCAGAACTAGGGAATTGTTATAACCTGACTCTAAGGGATTGCTAAAGTTTAAATTCAGAACATTTAAATTTATAATTCATCTCTGTTAGCACTTGAACTATCTTATAGAGTTCTAAAACTGAGTTTATAGATTTAAGTTTAATTTCGAAAAATTGATTTCAAGCACGAGACATTTATCACTATGGGGTCTAGAGAATTCAGGTACAGATTCAACTTTAATTTAATAATATTTCAATTTTTGAATTTTTCGTCACGGTGATAATTATATATATACACGTCTTAAAAATATCTCTAATATTCTATTTATTCCAATTCATACATAAATTTACTCAGTCTATCACTAAAAACCAATATCAAATAGATTTTTTCTTTGTACGCATTCAAAAATAACATTCAATTATTATATAATTTCAAATGAAAGTAGTAAATGCATGAAAAATGGGAGGAGAATTCAAATTAAATAAAAGAACAAGGGAAAAATGGGATGGTAGTCAAAGTTGTTTTTAAAAATAAAAAAATAACATAATAAAATTTAAAGAATTTAGTTTGAGTTATGTACAATATTTTAACTTTTATTCTCAATTTTGATCAAAAGAGGCTATCTATTTTAGAATATTGTATAAAATAAAGAACACTATTGAGAGATTCCCTACATTACACANATCAAAAGAGGCTATCTATTTTAGAATATTGTATAAAATAAAGAACACTATTGAGAATGAGATTCCCTCCATTACATACTTGAATGTGACCTATTATTAAATAAATCGAAAAAGAGTATAACGGAGAAAAATCAGATCCTAAATAAAATGGTAAAAACACACACTCACACACACACATATATATATTTATTATTAAGTGAGTTATTCACTTATATATAATAAATTTCACTTAAATTTAGTCATCGAGCTTGACCTCTAAAAATTCAAAGGTCTCAGGTTTAATAATTTTTATATTTTTAAAAAGTCAAATACTTTTATTTTTTATGAGACATGTTCTACATCCGTTCGAATTATGATTCTCAGTATTGGAGTTCAAAAAAATTAATCGACAAAAACTTAAACACTATGTAGTTACAAAAGAAAAAAGTTAAATAATAATAAACCACTAAAATTAAAAAGATATGTTGTGGTGGGTTTTTTTTTGGGGCGTGGGGTTGATTAGACCAAATGAGGCTCGCCCACCGCTCCATTTACGCAGTACAAAACAGACCTCCGCAACACATACATACTACTACTGCTCTCGAAATCTCGTTTCTCGGGCCATCCGTTCACGAATATCAAGGAATTTCTGCTTTTCTCCTTTCCAGTTTAATCCCTCTTCTTTCCATAAATTATTGTTTCCTTCCCATTTTCTAATGGTGGNTGATTTGACTCGTATTAAAAAGAGTAAATAGTGAAGAGACTAAACATTACCATAACTACAAATAATTAAAAAAAAAAGATTTTGAGCAAATTTTACCCCTCTACTTGTGGTTAGACATAAGAATTGACTAGGTTTTACTTCACTAAAAAGGCATATTTTCGATTTGGTCTTATTTTCAAAGGTTTTGATTAGTCAGGCAGTAGGTATGCTGCTTTTTGCTAGCAAATGTGTCGAATTGGAGCTTTTATAAGTTTAGAGAGCATATAAGGCCGGAGCATTTTTTTGGGTTTGTTATGTCTTTAACAACTCTTTGGTGCATTGTACCATAGGTATAGTGAGATCTAACACCATTTTTTTTTTCAATGGTAAAAAATATTTTTGTGAATATACACGTATTTCAACTAATCTCTTCTCGGTTTGATCAAAAACAAAACATCTACATCAGAACTAGGGAATTGTTATAACCTGACTCTAAGGGATTGCTAAAGTTTAAATTCAGAACATTTAAATTTATAATTCATCTCTGTTAGCACTTGAACTATCTTATAGAGTTCTAAAACTGAGTTTATAGATTTAAGTTTAATTTCGAAAAATTGATTTCAAGCACGAGACATTTATCACTATGGGGTCTAGAGAATTCAGGTACAGATTCAACTTTAATTTAATAATATTTCAATTTTTGAATTTTTCGTCACGGTGATAATTATATATATACACGTCTTAAAAATATCTCTAATATTCTATTTATTCCAATTCATACATAAATTTACTCAGTCTATCACTAAAAACCAATATCAAATAGATTTTTTCTTTGTACGCATTCAAAAATAACATTCAATTATTATATAATTTCAAATGAAAGTAGTAAATGCATGAAAAATGGGAGGAGAATTCAAATTAAATAAAAGAACAAGGGAAAAATGGGATGGTAGTCAAAGTTGTTTTTAAAAATAAAAAAATAACATAATAAAATTTAAAGAATTTAGTTTGAGTTATGTACAATATTTTAACTTTTATTCTCAATTTTGATCAAAAGAGGCTATCTATTTTAGAATATTGTATAAAATAAAGAACACTATTGAGAATGAGATTCCCTCCATTACATACTTGAATGTGACCTATTATTAAATAAATCGAAAAAGAGTATAACGGAGAAAAATCAGATCCTAAATAAAATGGTAAAAACACACACTCACACACACACATATATATATTTATTATTAAGTGAGTTATTCACTTATATATAATAAATTTCACTTAAATTTAGTCATCGAGCTTGACCTCTAAAAATTCAAAGGTCTCAGGTTTAATAATTTTTATATTTTTAAAAAGTCAAATACTTTTATTTTTTATGAGACATGTTCTACATCCGTTCGAATTATGATTCTCAGTATTGGAGTTCAAAAAAATTAATCGACAAAAACTTAAACACTATGTAGTTACAAAAGAAAAAAGTTAAATAATAATAAACCACTAAAATTAAAAAGATATGTTGTGGTGGGTTTTTTTTTGGGGCGTGGGGTTGATTAGACCAAATGAGGCTCGCCCACCGCTCCATTTACGCAGTACAAAACAGACCTCCGCAACACATACATACTACTACTGCTCTCGAAATCTCGTTTCTCGGGCCATCCGTTCACGAATATCAAGGAATTTCTGCTTTTCTCCTTTCCAGTTTAATCCCTCTTCTTTCCATAAATTATTGTTTCCTTCCCATTTTCTAATGGTGGTCAGTCCTCTTCTTTGCTCCCTCTAGAGAGAGATAGGAGAGAGAGAGAGAGAGAGACAGTGGCGTTCTTGTTCGATATTGTCATGGACCCATCGATTCATTTCTCCTTCAGAATCCGTTCAATCTCGTAAAATAATACATACCCATGTGAGTTCGTCACCACTCGTATGATATGCTATCATTTTTTTGCAATGAATATGTTTTGTTATTTGTTGGATGAATTGGGTAATATGTGCCTTTTCCCTTCGAATTGATTTAATTTTTCTAAATGTAATCGATTTGGTCTCTATCCAGTTAATGGATCTTCATTGCTTTGAACTAAGGGGTGTTGCGTTCTTTCTAACTTTTGAGAAAAACTAGGGTTCACATGTCTATGCTTTATGTATTATATTTATAATTTTATGCAGACTTGTTTATGAATATATGTTGTACTGAAGACCAGGTTCAATGGGTGTGGATTGGGATCCATGTTGGATCTATTGTTTTTGTTTTGATCTTATCACTACAATTGTTTGTTTTGTGTAGGTATTCTTAAATATTTGCTGTTTTACTGATCTTGGTATGTTCGTTTCTCATTTTTCCTATTATTTATTATTATTTTAGGTTTTATGCTGGAGGGCATTTAGCACATTGCCTAAGGCTTAAAAAGTTGGTTTATTGATGTGGGTTTTATGGTTGAACTCAAGAAATCATGGGTAGCTTCGGTGACGATGACAAAGAATATAGGTTCTTTGATGCCTGCGAGAACATTGCACCAGTGTCCGATTTGGGTTCTGATTACGCGGATTGTCCTGATTCTAGCTCTGGGATTGATAATGGGGTATCCAGTAGTTTTCAGTACGATGTATGGATTAGGAGTCCTAGAAGTGTTCAAGAGCGCCGTGGTAAATTCTTTAGATGGTTTGGGTTAGACTGTGATAGTAATGCAGCAGACAGTTTGCTAGATGTATATGGTGACCTATTCAAAAGAGATATGGATAGGATTATGGATAATAGTGGAGCTGTGTTGAGAACCTCAATTTTTGAAGATAAATTGTCTTCGAGGCAATCTTCTGTGTCAAGTTGGTCCAATGATGTTTTGGATTCATCAAGAGAATTGAGTTCCAATGAGAAGTTTGTATGCAGAAGCACAAACTCCAATGGTGGGATGGAGCTTATTCTAGATAAATTGGGGCATGATAGTAAGCTTAGTAAAGCTCAAGTAGCAGTTGTGAACCAGTTGGAGACAGCTGAAGGGTTTGTGAGCACTTCTGGGTCATCTTGCTCAGCTCAAAAAGTTGTGGAGAGAGAAATTGGGGATGATAGCAATGTGTCAAGGGCAAGGAATAGAGTGAAGAACTGGTGGCTGAGTAGATTACGTTCCATGATGTGTGTTGTGGATAATCAAGGGAAAGCTGGTGATAGCTCTGACCTAATTCAAGAGCCTAGGGTGCAGAGAATGCAGGTTCGCCATAGGAAGAAGCGGTTGAAGGAAATCTCGGCTCTGTTCACAGGCCAAGATATTCAGGCTCATCAGGGTTCAATCCTGACTATGAAGTTTAGTCTTGATGGGCAGTTTCTTGCCAGTGCTGGCGAAGATGGTATTGTACGTGTATGGCAAATTGTGGAAGATGAGAGATCAAATGAAATTGACATTCCAGAAATAGACCCGTCATGCATATACTTTGCACTGAATACACTTTCTGAACTGGCACCGATCATGGTAGAGAAAGAGAAAATAAACAAATTGAAGAGCATAAGAAAAACATCTGACCCTGCTTGCGTCATCTTTCCTCCAAAAGTCTTCCGGATATTGGAGAAACCACTCCATGAGTTCCATGGACACAGTGCTGAGATCTTGGATCTCTCCTGGTCGACTGATAATGTACGTTTTGTTTTTGTTGAATGATTGAGTTTTTCCTGAAATGTGGCAGAAATTTATAAGGTTTTCATTATTTTTGTTCTTGGTACAGTGTTTGATTTCATCGTCAATTGACAAAACTGTTCGTTTGTGGCGAGTAGGATGTGACCAGTGCCTCAAAGTCTTTTCTCATAGTAACTATGGTGAGCCCCTGACTGTTGCATTTGTATTTCTATCATACTATTGTGTTACCGAGGTACCAACGAAGGTTAATTGGTAACCTGGTGGATGATCTAGATGTGATACCTTCTTAAAATCATAATCTCTGAACCTTTTAAATGATATAATGCATGCAGTGACCTGCGTTCAGTTTAACCCTGTGGATGACAATCACTTCATCAGCGGTTCTATCGATGGAAAAGTTCGCATTTGGGCAATTAACAGTTGCCAAGTTGTTGATTGGACTGACATAAGAGATATAGTTACTGCCATTTGTTATCGCCCTGATGGGCAGGTTTGGTCTTTCTCTGGCTGTTTTTATCTATTTAAACTAGGATGTAGCTTCAGAAATTCAAGAGATGGTAACTAACCAATCTGTTTGCCTGTCCAATAGGGTGGAATTATTGGATCCATGACAGGCATTTGCCGCTTCTTCAGTTTATCAGGTAACCGCCCATCTCTCCTGTTCCCTGATGAATTACCTCTTTTGAGTAATACTTGAGAGGATATTACAATATGTTTGAAAATTCTTTGTTTTTTATTGGGCTTTTTGNCGCTTCTTCAGTTTATCAGGTAACCGCCCATCTCTCCTGTTCCCTGATGAATTACCACTTTTGAGTAATACTTGAGAGGATATTACAATATGTTTGAAAATTCTTTGTTTTTTATTGGGCTTTTAGTTATGCATGGCTATTGCATTGATGCTGTGGTATTATAATCCTGCACTGACTGTATTGTACTACTTTGGATTTTGCATCATTTTGATGATTTACCTTCTGACTTAATGGGGAAGATGCACATTTCATATGTATCAATTGCTAGTCAATCTTGGCTGCTATATATTGAAGAAAATGGGTTAGGTCAGTAAGTTTTCTAGGTTTTGTGGGAGGTACTTTATTCGAGTAAAAAGCTGTGGGTTTGTAGTAGTGCAATGTCAAATGTTTGTGTTATTTGCAGCACGTCAGTTAGTTCATTAGAACTCTCACTATTTTACACCTTGTAATTTATACAAGGGGAATGTTTTTCAATTTATCAGGCTGGTACTTCCATTGAAATCATTTGATACTGTAGAAGAATGATTATCAAAAAGGAACTAGACATTATGGTGCATAGATGAAACAGGAAAGGGGCATTGAAAGATTAAATTTGATGAAGAAACTAGTATAAAATTCACGGCGTGGGCTAATAAATTAAAATTGCATGACAATTGGGTTTTTGTTTTGCCTGAACCAGATAATCACTTCCAACTGGAAGCTCTGGTGTGCTTAGACAGTAAAAAGAAATCACCCTGCAAAAGGATAATTGGCCTTCAGGTAGTCGTCTCTCGCCTTCATATCATCACGTCGTTGCTTCTTCCCTTTTTACTTTATTTCAATGGCAGTTTTCAATTTTTTCTAATTTCATGCTATTATGCGGCAGTTTTTCCCACGAGATTCGAGCAAAGCAATGGTCACTTGTGCTGATTCACAAATCAGAATTCTTCATGGGATTAATGTGATTAGAAAATACAGGGGTATGTGTTCCTTTTTCACAAATAGGCTATTTGTTGACTAGCTGGCTTAATATCTTAATCAGGCCCTGATTTCGACATACGAGTCCTTTGAGATAAATGCTGCAAAGTGTAATTGTTTTTCCAACCTCTAGCTTTTATTATTGAGGAATCTTTTTAGCGAAACCCAAATGGGCAATGTTGGGCATTTGGAAACTTAATTGACCACTGAATAAGCGGGTTTTTCCCTCAAGTTGTAAAGTTGTTTGGGAAATTTTGTGAATTGCAGTTTTTTATTTTCTTGTTTGTGTTAACCTTTGTTTTTCTCTCTCCCTGTCTCTCTTCTCTAGGCCTACGAAATGCAGGAAACCAGATCTCTACATTTTTCACCTCAGATGGAAAGCATATTGTCTCAGCATGCGAGGATTCTAATATATACGTTTGGAACTGCGTTAGTCAGGAAGAGTTTTCTCTGTCCCAACCAAAAACCATTAGGTCATTTGAGTGCTTCCCCATGGATGCCTCGGTTGCACTACCTTGGTCTGGTTTAAAATTGGGAAACTCAGACCATGGATTGCAATCAGGTTTCTTAGATGAGAGTGCCCTCAACACATTGCCTTTCTCTTCGTCAGCCTGTTTCTCTTTGGGTCAAGAGTGTTTTCTAGAATCAATTCCCAAGGGATCTGCAACTTGGCCAGAGGAAAAGCTTCCCTCTTCAAGCTCACAAGCCTTTTCATCTGCAATACGTAAATCTCAATACAAGTTTTTGAAAACTTCTTGCCAGAGCTCATCCAATTCTCATGCATGGGGTCTGGTTATTGTTACAGCGGGCTGGGATGGACGAATTAGGTCATTCCACAATTATGGATTGCCAGTACCACTTTGAAATGGGGCCAGCGAGATCTTAGGGAATGCAAGATGATATTTTGGTCATCCACCTCTAACTCTTCCGATGCTGCAATTCATTGTTGCTTGGGAATGAGAATTCCGAGTTTCCGGTGGGCCTCTTCTCAGATTCCGAGAGGTGGATCACCGTTTAGTAGGTTATGGAAGGTGGCAGCAGTTCCATGGGCATGTTGTAATGTGGCCAGTGTGATCAACAAACAGCTGATTTGGGACAGCCAGTCTAATCATAGGATTCTTTAAATTGTTTTTTGAGAAGTTTGTGGCTACTGACCCAGAAAAGAAATGGATTCATGTGCTAGGAGAGGTCTAGTTGAGATGCATATCTGAATAATGGATTTGCCCGTGGGGCCTCAGAGAACCTCTTCCATTTGTTGTCGAAATTGGGACGATAGAGCCAGAGCTGGTGGCTGGAATTTGTTCGGGAAATTATAGTGGGGAACTTTGCCTTTTGTGGTTATGCTGGTTGGTGTGACTGATTGAGTTCTCTGTCTGCCATTTTGTCCATACAAAGGTGGGTTTATGGCTCTGATTGGGGGATAATAAGAGGGTGGGTCCTTTCTTTGCTGAATGGCTTTATCGTCTCCTCTGTGCCTGATTGAGTCAGTCATCCACATCTGGTTTCTGTTAATGTTTACAGGGAAAGTGCTCTCCCACTTCCATTCACAAATGGATCCTTTTCTTGGTTATGATCGGTGACTAGCTAACCTTTGATTGTAATTGACATGCCGTTAGTATATTTTCTTTCACTAACAAAATTCATAGAGAGTTTTGAAATGTTTATAGTGATGTTTCACTTGACAGTCTCAGTAACTAGTGTAGTCGGTTTCGATGTGTATAATTGCATTAATCAAAAAAGAAAAATATTAGACAAGAAACAAGGTGAGACGGCTCTGTGCTGTTGTGGCCCTTGTGGGTTCATGAAGATTGTTCATGTATGGGGTATGCTTCATTTAGAAACTTCCGTTTTGACGTTTTTGAATGCAAAAAGGAAGTTTTTTAATTTTTTTGGGTCAAGAGATAACANATTGCATTAATCAAAAAAGAAAAATATTAGACAAGAAACAAGGTGAGACGGCTCTGGGCTGTTGTGGCCCTTGTGGGTTCATGAAGATTGTTCATGTATGGGGTATGCTTCATCTAGAAACTTCCGTTTTGACGTTTTTGAATGCAAAAAGGAAGTTTTTTAATTTTTTTGGGTCAAGAGATAAAATTGATTTATAGTTGATTGTTGAATTGTGAGTGATACCATTTCTAAACTGCATGTCAAATGACCATCCTACTGAGCCACTGGGTTGCACAGACCAGTAGCCTGAGGTAGTTTAAGTTTTAGCGCAGCACTGCATAACAGAGAGGGACACAAATTTTCCAACTACTTTATATTTCAGGAATGTCAAACACAATTTACTGAGGAGAAAATGAGATTAGTTGAGGTGCGGATAAACTGACTTAGACACTCATTTGATTGTTAAATAACTGATTACAAAATCAATGGTATGGTCATCAATGTTCAACCACAACACAATTAGGGAGAGAGGAGAGAGAGAGTAGACTGAAGGCTCTCTAGAACATGAGGACTCCAAGTGGATTAAAAGAGGGAAGGCGTTAACGGCAAGCAGAACTTTTCATATTCATTTTGTAGGCCACCCATTCTGATCACAATTCACTGATGGATTCTGATCCAGTAGTGGGACTCTGGCGTTACAATTATATTCCTGACCGTCTACGCTAGTGAGAGAGAGAGAGAGAGATGGCCCAATACAGAATAGCCCATACATTCATATGATCCGTCAAAATAGCACAGGTCCATTGCAAAACAAGTTGATGGTAGCAACCATTAATAGCACAGGTCCTTTGCTGCATTTTTGGACAGGCAAATACAGATTCAAATCCCGTCTAGTAAAGTTTTTTCTTCATTTCTGTTAATGGTAGATTACTTATCATTGATAAATTCGTCATCTATTATTGAAGAGAATTGAGAGAAAATAAACTAAAAGTGATCCCAATCCCAAATAATACATGCACTCAATCCCAAATAATACATGCACTCGCTACAATCACGCAGAAAAGACCACAAACTATGTTATTGATTGCCCACACACATGCCACAAAATCACAACAAAGAAAACAAACATAAGCATGAAGAGAGAACTATGCAGATGCCAGTACAATATAGGTTGCTGCATCAACAACAAATGATTAGCAATCCACACAGCATGAAAGCAAAAACGTATGATTTCAGTGTTCACAAGTGAAACAGGTTGTGTACCAAGCCTCACTTGGATGTTTCATTTATATCCTGCCTCCAAAGAATTGGTCCATATACTGAGCTGGAATGAAGTGAGTGCCCTTGTTTGTGCATGATGCAATCTATTAAAAAGATAAATGTGGATGTCACTATGAATTAGCATGCCACATGTTTAACCTATCTCCTGCTGAAACTCAAGGATTGATACCAGCCAAATGCCACATGCCCATATTTTAGCTAGTCATGCAGCTGTAATAGTGTGTTTATGCATCAACTGTTCACAATCCTCGAATACTGACAGAAAGTTTGCTAAACAGAATATAAACATGATAATAACGATCCATGATCCTCAATCCTTGAATACTGACAAAACGTTCTTAACAAATTATATATGTGATAATAGTGATCCTAGACTAACACAATATAACATCATCATGTAAATTCCACACATACATTAATCTTTAAGTATATAAACACACAAAGCTAATATAAGGTTCCATTTGTATCAAAAGAACTACATATGGTCTCTTTTAAGTCCAATTGGCAGCTGATTTTTTACCATTTGTTAAACCTTCTGAAAATATATGAATAGCAGCTGTTCTTAACCATCAATTTTCCCCCTCATTTTCAACAATTTCCAATCATTTTAGACATGAGATTATCTCAAAAAGACCTAAAAATTGCAGCAAATCTGCAATCCATATGATACATTCGCACATTTCAAATACTAAAGAATGCCAACACCAATTTCCAAAACAGACTTACAATTGACCAACAGTTTCACCAAGGAATTTTCTGCAAGTGAAGTGATATTTCAATCATCCAACCATGATATCCCATCATGTACTTCGTGAATCTTGTAATCGCACAGAAACATATACAAAGGAAAATGAATATAAACCTTGCACACCACACAGACACACAGACAAATAAATTCATTCCCCTCAAATTAATAAATTCCAAAACTCATTAAGAACGCAACACACATAGAATCACAAGATCTTTATTTTCTTTAATTTGACAGAGGCCTCAAGATCAATATGAGTTCCGTAAATTCCAACAATTTCAGAGAAAAGACATTGACAACATCTAAAAACAGGATGGCATTCGTCTCAATGCGAAATGCCAATCACAAACAAATCCAAATCCCTATCATAACAATTCAACCCCAAAACAACTATCTTTCTTTCCTCAATATGTTTTCCAATATAAATCAACAACCACAGGAGATGCATTGAGTAATGCGGCACATATATAAATCTCGTATATAACAACTATGTATCCATGAGAACCTGATCGATGGATTAGACAGGGAGGTTATCGACGGAGGTAGGATCATGCTTTGTAGTGACGTTATCGATCGGCGTTTGAATATTGGTGAGCATGAGAGGGCGATCTTTGGCCTCTTCTTGGTCCTCATCATCGGTGTCGTAGGTGGTTACGTTAACGCACGAGCAACGCTCCAATGAAGCGAAGAATGCCGAGGCCACGTTCGAGCCCAACCATTTCGCTAAGCCATCAAGCTTTTCGTACGAGACGATGCTTGAATTCTCCATTTTTTGTTTGATTCAATCGGAGGCCTGGTCTTTGAAATGCTTTCTAACAGAGAAAGCCCTAGGAGATCGAAAATTCAACGGACTGTTTCGTACTTATCGTACGAGGGCGAGAGGATCCGAGTAGGAGAAAGTAGTCCGTGAGACAAAATGGTAGGGTGACCCGCAATATTTAAATCCTATGTGGCTTCTAAATACTCCTTAGATATCCGTATAGAGATCGTTTAGGATAACATGGATGACCCGTAAATTTAAATCCTTAGATATCCGCATAGAGATCGTTTAGGATAACATGGATGACCCGTAAATTTAAACATTTTGATTTATTTATTGCTGCTCATACTTCTCACAGATTGCCCCAAGTAGATATCCGACAGAGCAACCGAATGGGTGATTTTCTCTCTTGGTTGGTAAGTACAAGATGTTATTGGGTTATCTACTATACTTTTATTCAATTATTTCATGAATTAAAATGTATTTAAAGTGATTTGAATTGAATTCTATCCTGGAACAGGTTAAACTAGGCAGTGTGTCCAAGCAGCACCCATCCAGAGAAAGACATTCCGACGTGGCAAGCCACGTAACACACAGATGTGGTGTACGTTCTTTCCTGATAAAATCAGGAACGAACGTCTTCAATCTGATACACCACACAGGTAGCTCCAACAATGGCGACCGCGACCCTTTTCATATCTTTTTCACGAAACTTTCTCTCTCCTCCACAGTCTTCATCGAGAAGGCAACGTATCCCGATTCCGGAGCTTCACTCACCGATCCGAATCAATTGTTCCGGTAAACCGCTGACATTCTCATGAATAATTTATCTTCATTTCAGTGATTGTGAGTTTCAGTCTTTTTTTGCATTGCCCTGCTTTATCATACATACATATATATATATATATNGAGTTTCAGTCTTTTTTTGCATTGCCCTGCTTTATCATACATACATATATATATATGTGTGTGTGTGTGTGTGTGTGTGTGTGTGTGTGTATTGTCAATTATTGTTCATAATGATCTGCGATTAAGCAAATAATTAGAAGGAAAATCGTATTTACAGCAACAAAGATAGCCGAAGCGAATCAGAATGAAAATGGTGGATTTTTTTTTTTTTATGGTTTCGAAGATTGAATTAGCGGGTACAAAGTAACTGATATAAGTGTAATAGACTTGAAATTGCGACCAAAGTAGGGGACCCTGTGTATTTGTATTTCTCTGATTATAAGATTCAGGGTTATGAATGAGCATATGCTTAAAGTACTCTGATCACTCAGTGCTTGCTAGGGAGTAAAGGAGTAGAGGAGTAAAGGAGTAAAGACGTTCTTTTACTAATTTTCTTTTAGCTTATCGCATGACTGGCACCTAGGAAATTTTGGAATTTTTTTTTTCTAGAAGGGATGAGGATGGAACCCACAATTACTTGCAGACATGAGTGGGCCCTTACCATTGACTAGTTCCTTACGGCCTCACCTCAGCATTTAGGAAAATTTAAGAAATGTTTTGTAGACTCGTTGTTTTTTAATCTTTTGGTTGTCTAGCAACCAAGAAATCGAAGCGGACTCTGTTGTAGCAATTTTGCTTAAAGTGATTGTTTTGAAAAATAGAATCTTGTAGCAATTTGTTTTTTTGTTACGAATATTTTCTTTGTTTAGCTTCAGAAGCATCAGAACTCTGCCCAGCTACTTTGCAATTGAATTGATTTTAGTGCTGATACTGATATGTTAGTTGCGTTTGGTGATGTTGGGAGAAGCCACTAGGGATGGTTCCACACCCAAGGAAGGCTATTCTCAGTTCAAGGAACTCAGGAATGTGGCTTGTGGTATTCTGGCTGCTTGGGCCGTGACTGCTGCCTCACCTGTAGGTGCTGCTAATCAGGTTGGATTTCAGAAGCGCTCTCAATTTAGCCATTCTGTTTAGAACTCAAAAAACTTACCACCTATGCCCTCTTTGAATTTATAAGAGCAACCACATTGTCGTTATAGTTTATGGTGTCACAAAAAAGTGCATTAGTTTTTTTCTTTTAATCTTTTTTTTTTTTTGCTTGCATTGCAGAGGTTGCCTCCTTTGTCAAGAGAACCCGACCGGTGTGAGCGTGCATTTGTCGGTAACACCATAGGTCAAGCAAATGGTGTTTATGACAAGCCCCTTGACCTCCGTTTTTGTGATTTCACAAATGAGAAATCCAACCTCAAGGGGAAGACACTTTCAGCAGCACTCATGTCGGATGCCAAGTTTGATGGTGCAGACATGTCTGAAGTTGTAATGTCCAAGGCTTACGCTGTTGGAGCCAGTTTTAAGGGTAATTTCTATATCCTCTATTGTTTGGGTTCTTTTCACTGAAATTGTCATCTGATCTATGATTAGGTTTATTATGCATTTTGTGAAAGGTTAGGTACTTGATTTTGGCATGCATGCTGTTCAAAGAAATCCAGAACTTTCATGACCATGTACATGTTGAATAGGCATTTTATTTCCTGTTTCATTTCAAGGCACATCCAAACATACACGTGGACCATCTATGTAGATAATTGTCGAAGATGCTGCCACCACCACCTTTTGAGGGGTGGGTTCTTTCCTGATTTGTGCCTGTGTTGTAAATTTTTGCCTTAGGTCATAGAGAGAACTATTAATTCAATGTTGATTTTTACAGTCCTATTGTTGTCTCGGGAAATTTGTTGTGGTCTGTGCCACTTTCTCGCTTTTCTTGATCAGATAAGTTCATATAGGCCCATCTCTGCTCATTCTGCTAATCCTATAAGCAAATTAAACAAGATTCTTTAAAGTCATATTTGTTTTATTAGAAGTTATTTTCTCCGAATCCAACAGCACCTGTAAATTTAACTTCAGAAAACGATAAACATACATACAAGTAAATTTTTTTTACAAAACCAAGATTCTTGCTAACAATCCCTTTATGCTCTGTTTTGACTATGTTAAAATTAATTAAAATTGAAACAGAATTCAGCAAAAATTTACAGAGTGTCTGCTATTATTTGCAGGCACAGACTTCTCGAATGCTGTTTTGGATCGAGTGAATTTTGAAAAAGCTAACCTACAAGGAGCCTCATTTAAGAATGCTGTATTATCCGGCTCTACGTTTGGTGAAGCTCAGCTGGGAGATGCAGTGTTTGAGGACACTATTATAGGCTATATTGATCTTCAGAAACTCTGTACAAATACAACTATTAGTGCAGAAGGAAGAGCCGAACTTGGATGTCGATAAGCCGAGATGGGTTTTCTCTCTCTTCCTTCAATCTCCTAAAGAATGACAGATGTAAGCTGGTTTTTCTTAATTTTTCATTTTTATTGTACACAGGAAGAACGAGTCATTATTGTTGAAGGCCAATCTTTCAGTTTCTGTATCATCTTTGTATTCTGCTTAGTAAAAAAAGGTACGGTTTTTGTATGTCAAAACTTGCTTTGACCCACCTGACTGGAAGGGCAGTTAAAATTTTGAGAACCGGAAATTTAGGGCCACGTTTGGTTAGGTTTCCGGAAATTGTTTTTTGTTCTCAAAATTTTAAAAACACTCCAAACCTGTTATATTTAATTTTTTTGTTCTCAAAATTTTGAGGAAAAATGAAATTTGAGTCAAAGAAACAGAAAACAAGTTTAAACTTGTTTTCAGAGTATTCTTTGAAAATTTTGAAAACAAGGAGAACAATTTTAGACTTTAATGAGGTTTATCCTTCGAATCTCCTTAGTAGCAAATTTTTTCATTCCTTTTTTTACTTCCTCCTCTCTCTCATAATATATAATATATTATAAAATTGTCAATATAAAAATAAATTTTTTATATTTTTTTATTAATGTTTGAATTACTGTTCAAATATATATTTAGGTTGTTCAAACAGATTTTATTATTTTTTGTATTATAAATTTTTTTTTAAATCATCTAACCAAACAAATTTTTTATCTTAAAAAATATCAAAATCACTTGCTTAAAACTCTTCTAAAAAACTATTTTTATTTACTAGTTTTTGAAATGCAAACTAAACAAGTCCTAGGCTTTTATATTTGAACCGAGTTGAGTGGCCGACTGGCCTGTCTTCAACCTCGTNAAAATAAATTTTTTATATTTTTTTATTAATGTTTGAATTATTGTTCAAATATATATATAGGTTGTTCAAACAGATTTTATTATTTTTTGTATTATAATTTTTTTTTTAAATCATCTAACCAAACAAATTTTTTATCTCAAAAAATATCAAAATCACTTTCTTAAAACTCTTCTAAAAAACAATTTTTTTTATTTACTAGTTTTTGAAATGCAAACTAAACAAGCCCTAGGCTTTTATATTTGAACCAAGTTGAGTGGGCGACTGGCCTGTCTTCAACCTCGTTTGAGCTAAAGATAATACGATGAGATTCAAACTTGACATTCGTGCTTTTGTCACTTAACTAAAGCATCAGTTTACAATCGCAAAAATACATGCCGAAGTGTTTAGAATGTCAACACATGATTCAACTTTTGTGTATGTGTATACACCTAATTTTTGCGCTCGCATGAAGTTTGGTCGTTGTATTGTAACTGTCATTCCATGGACAACTACAAGTCGTTATCTTCTGCATTCCTAAACTAAATGTCCAAGTGCCAACCAATTCCTGCACACTTTTCAATGGACCTCCCATCATCTGTTACCTTTTTGGAATTTCTCTTTGCCAAGAATAGCCTGATTAGATTTAGGCTCTAAATCAGTAACATAAGTGGCAATTTAGTCAATGAATCAAAGGATGTGGGCCCATAAATTTACTGATTTGGTTTTTCCTCAGTATTAGAAATCGGACTTCAGGTACTTTTACTCTGGTGATTAGGTACCGAAATATGTTATCCTTTCTCCATGCCTTCTCTTATAGCAACAGCCTGGGTCAATGATCTCATCCTTCAAGCAAATCCTAGAAGAGATAGAGGCTAGAGAGAGAGACCATACCTTTGGAATTATTGATTTCACCCTCCTTGTAATGTTTCTTGCTCAAATGAGTATTCCAACAGCAGTGGCAATCTGGGCACCAAACTTCTTCTACTATATGTATCTGGATTGATGAGTTTTCATGGCTTATTATACACCTAGGTATGTACTGAAGCCTCTGATGTCTTATCCTGATACTATAGCAGAGGATTTACTATTCATCAAATTGATTTTTGTACATAAAACTTTTCTCTCTCTCTCTCTCTCTCTCTCTATAGTGCTAGCTGGTGCTGCTGTTTCTGGGATGCTCACTTGGGCATGCAATGTTATAACTGGAGGGGTTATTGGACTATGGTCCTTATCATTTACATGCTTGCTGAGAAGTTTGCTCAATCTTCAACTTATATCAGATAAGTTCTTTCACTTGTCCAACTACCCAGATGACCAAACATGTTTTATATCAGATAAGTTCTTTCACTGGTCCAACTACCCAGATGACCAAACATGTCACTTTGTTGTTATTAGCATCCACGTCGGGATTAGGGTATTCATGGAAGATAAATCTTTCATGGTATAACCCTAAGAGATTGTCAGAGTCAAAACGTCTAGATTTACAGTTCGTCCATGTTATCACTTGTGTTATCTTAGGTTTGGTTCAATATATGTTTAGCACAAGTTAGAAAAAGATCAATATCCAAAGAGATCGAGATCTTAAAGATCCTGATTATCAATTTACAGTTCACCAACCCTTTTAAATAATCATCATTAAAGAGCATTAAAAATTCAAAAAAAAAAAGGGATTTATAATCCCATCTTTTAGTCAACCTGTGACACTGTACAACGTTATAACTGAGGAAGGGATCATTTAGACTGTTCTTTCTGATTTGTACCTTACTTATATCTTTTCCTTTTCTTCAGTACATGCATGAAACGGGCTTATTGTGTTATTCTACTAACTTTTCATAATTCAAAGTAGAAATGGTATTTTGCAGAATAGGATGAGACCCACCATTTGATCAAACACTGATGCCATGGAGGGAGAGAGAGAGAGAGAGCGCACTGGCTATCAACTGGTTGAAAAAGGAGACCAAAAGACTAGAGAGTGTATCAATGCACCCAATAATACCAAGTTATTCGTCGATTTGATCCAAATTATGATTCAATAAGATCCGAAAAATTAGGATCGATCCTAAAAAATCTGGGTGGGTTCCTTCCTATCAAGTTGTGATCCATTTTAAGTGTTTTGAATCAATCCTAACTTGGCCTTATTGAGTCCTAATTTGACATGTTTGGAATTGTAACTTTGCTTCACTGAATCATAGCTTTATAAAAATATCTCTCAAATAATATTTGTTTTATTGTCCGATAAGCATGACAAGTTTAGATAAGAACTGCAATCTCAATACAAAACCTACAATAATTAGTGGCTGTGTACATAGTCTTAGTGGGTTTGTTGGTAAACGAGTGGATTCATTAAATATAATTTATACACAATACAATCATGATTAAAAATTATTAAAAATGAGCCGATAATGGATTAAATAAATTTTGATAATACGATTTAAACGACGTGAATCTGACGCGATTTTATCAATTTACACTCTTACCGAGATAATAAAAATAGTCATCACAAAAATGATAAAAACACCTACAAAAATTATAAATTACCCACAAAAGTTATAAAAAAAAGTTTGTTGTAAAATAACCTACAAAAATTATAAAAATATTTATTAAAATTATAAAATTGAAAGGTACGATACCAAAATTTCATAGTCTTCCCCGTGAAGATGTTGGTATGACATCAGAAAATGGAAACACAAACATGATAAGTTGACGGAAAAGGCTATGGCACAGTACTAAAAATTATAATTTTTTAAAGTTATGTTAAAATTNAATTATAAAAATATTTATTAAAATTATAAAATTGAAAGGTACGATACCAAAATTTCGTAGTCTTCCCCGTGAAGATGTTGGTATGACATCAGAGAATGGAAACACAAACATGATAAGTTGACGGAAAAGGCTATGGCACAGTACAAAAAATTATAATTTTTTAAAGTTATTTTACAAATTTTTTGATGCGTAAGTTATAACTTTAAAGCGTGTAATTAATTAAGAAAAGTTGAGGTCGATACCAAAATTTTCACGATTGATAATAAATATTTATAATCGATTATAATATTTCCTTGAGTCGTTATAATTTTTTTTTAAAATTATAATTTTATTCATAAAAAATATAGATAACGGTACAATACCGATTCCGAAAAATTTTCCCAAGTTGAATAAGGACAGTGCTAAAGGTAAANGAGGTCGATACCAAAATTTTCACGATTGATAATAAATATTTATAATCGATTATAATTTTTCCTTGAGTCGTTATAATTTTTTTTGTTTTAAATTAAAATTTTATTCATAAAAAATATAGATAACGGTACAATACCGATTCCGTAAAATTTTCCCAAGTTGAATAAGGACAGTGCTAAAGGTAAAGCCAATAATTGTCGTCGATTTTGTCCTTCACCACTGAAGAAAACTTGATGGAAGTGTAACCATGACTAAGATTGACAGGTACACTTTCGTTTGGCTGTTTCCAAGGCAGTGAGCCTTCTTCGTTTTGGAATGCCCTTGACTAAGATTGACATGTATATCCGGATGCAACTTTGTAGGATTTTTTTTATTTCTAGTAGGATTTCTTTAGCTTAATTTTTTTTTTTTTTTTTTTTTTGGGATCAAACATATCCAATCTTTAGCTTAAGTTTAGGGATATCAATATCAATAGAATTTAAGTTGTAAGCTCTATTTAAAGAGCCCTTTGATTATGAATAAAACATCAAAGAATTATATTTATATCAAATGAGTTGGTAATAAAGAGGCCTGGTTCCTTCGAATAAACCACTAAGAGGTCCCAGAATCGCTCGAAGTATCCTAATAAAAATAGATCGACAACAAGTCGTTGACGTGCTTTTAATCAAGTGCTCGTAACAATCTTGCATCACAAAACTGGAATGGATAGCTAGTCAAAGTGAAAAAATCTCAACCGGTGTAAATTGTGAAAAAAAAAAATCATTGGAGTTTTTTTATCTTTTATGAATACCCACACTAATCTTGGCATTGATGGTTTAGTTTTGACCGAACCGGAAAAGATATTAGTTAAGGTGAACGTAAGCTAATTCAAACACTCCTGATCGTTTAACTAAAAAAAAAGTAAATTGTGAAAAAAATTGATGTGTAACTTATACATGGCAGCATGAAGAATGGTTAAAACTAGTTGATCTTGTGGCTTGTGCTTTACTTTCCTCCAACTCAGTTCCTTCTTTTCACAAGGGACGACATAATCCAAAATAAATTTCATGGACGCATCATGAGCAAAGATGTATGTTATAAATTCCAGTCACAAAAAAAGTTTCTCTACGCACGAGATAAGACTATGTATGCCCTTTTTTGTTCAACACTAATTGGCCAACGCTGATCAACTAATTGTAACTTAGATTGATTATTCTTCCCAAGGACGACAGACAAAAAGTGAAGATAACAAAGAAAAAGTTGTAGAGATTCCCCCATGTAATAAACCTTGCTCAAAACACACTCCACAACTTTGCACTAAGAAATACCCAACCACCAAGAAAGGCATCTCCCCACAAGTACTCTTCTTCAACAATAAGCCATGGCAAACCTGCAGTTACCGTTTTCCACCTTCACCCCCAACAAAAGTCATGGAGAAAACTACCACCGCCATGCTTGCTCATGCAGTCACATATGTAGTACTTCTCTTCATGTCCACCCAAGGTATGCCTCCATCTCTTTTGTTTATATATTATGTTCACGAGTTTAACAAGAGTCAAACAAAGTTTTGCTCAAGCTCGGCTTGTTTATTTGAACGAGCTATNCAAGGTATGCCTCCATCTCTTTTGTTTATATATTATGTTCACGAGTTTAACAAGAGCCAAACAAAGTTTTGCTCAAGCTCGGCTTGTTTATTTGAACGAGCTATTTATGAACTTTGCTTAAATGACACAGATTCATGAACACATATTATATGATGTGTTCATGAGTTTAAGAACTCGAATGATTTTATGTTCTAGCTCGGCTCGTGTATTTGAACACAAGTTATTTATGAATTGTTTGATTCATTTGGTTCCCACTTTTCTTGCATATTAGCTGCGGAAAACGTAGGAGTGGAGGAGACAATTGGTGTCAACTATGGCACGGTAGCAAACAACCTTCCTCCACCGGCACAAGTGGCTCACTTCCTCTTACAATCCACCATTATCAACCGTGTGAGGCTATTCGATGCCAACCCTGAAATCCTTAAAGCATTTGCTCATACTGGAATCGCCATTACTGTCACTGTCCCCAATGAACTAATCCCACAGCTTACAAAGATCAGTTTTTCACAACAATGGCTGAAAACCAACATTGTACCTCACATTCCTGCCACCCACATTGTCCGAATTCTAATCGGCAACGAAGTACTTTCAACAGCCAATAAATTATTAATAGGAAACCTCGTAAAATCAATGCGGACCCTTCACACAGTCCTTGTCCGAGAGTCTCTTGACCGTGATATCAAAGTCTCCACGCCACATTCTCTAGGCATACTATCATCCTCAAGCCCACCATCCACTGGGAAGTTTCGAGACGGCTACGACACTCATGTGCTCAAGCCATTACTTAGCTTCCTAAGAGCCACCGGTTCACCTTTCATGATAAACCCTTACCCATTTTTTGGCTACTCGGATGACACTCTAGATTATGCACTGTTTAGGCCTAATGCAGGAGTGTTCGACGAAATGACTAAACGAACTTACACCAATATGCTAGATGGACAGTTGGACGCAGTCTTCTCGGCATTGAAACTTCTCGATTTTACAGACGTTGAGATCGTCATAGCCGAAACTGGGTGGCCATCTAAAGGTGATCCAGGGCAAGCTGGTGTTGATCCTGAAAGTGCAGCAGAATACAACAGAAATTTGATGCAACATGTGACATCTGGGGTTGGGACACCCCTCATGCCTAACAAGACATTTGAAACATACATTTTTGCACTGTTCAATGAAGATTCAAAGCCCGGGCCAACATGTGAACGAAACTTTGGGTTGTTCCAGCCCGACATGACACCTGTCTACAACGTTGGGATCTTAAGGCGAACGGTAGCTGCCGCAGCCAATAAGCACCCTAAAACATGTTTATTAGTACTCATATATATTGGCTTGATTGTTTTTATGAACTTGGCTCTGGCAGGCTAAAGCAAACTTTCCTTCGTACCCAACCCCAGTAGTTGCACCGGTGAGTCCATTGCCTGCATCAAAAGGGAAAGACTGGTGTCTTCCCAAACCAGGGGCTGATGAAGATGCATTGCAGAAGAATATTGATTATGTGTGTGGCTTTGGTGTGGACTGCAGACCCATTCAAGAAGGTGGGGAATGCTTTGTTCCGAACACGGTTCGAGCCCATGCTGCATATGCCATGAATGCATACTACCAAGCCACTGGAAGGAATGGCTATGATTGCGATTTTGATCAAACTGGAGCCATCACCAATGTTGATCCAAGTATGTGGATACTGTACAATTGAATGGTGTCTAAACTCCTAAAACTCTCTGCATATCATCTGTATAGTTGCTTGTCTAAGACTCAAGATCTTGATTTTCAGGCTATGGAAAGTGCAACTATTGACTTGGAGATACTGGAATTATGAAGTCCCCAGAAAAGAAGATTTCTGTTGCTTTTATAATTATAAGGTTTTGTTACCTATGTTTGACATTAGAATAAGAGACAACATTAATTGCTTAGGCAGGATCTGTAATGAAGCTATCATATATGTTTACCTATATACACAGAGAGAGAGAGAGAGAGAGAGAGATTGTAACCATAGGTACTACTAGTATGCTTGTTTCCTTGATGAAGCAATCTCATGAACAGTTATGTCTCCTCCAAAAATCTTGAAAAGTTCATCAATATATACTTTCTTAAAGAATAGAGGAGATTGAAGAGTATTTGGACTTAATTGAATGTAGCCATTGGATTAAAAGTGGGCGTCAGAGGCTGTTGCACTGTTGCCAACTCGAAGGGGCCAAAAGCTCGACGCAGAGCTTTTTGCATGTTAAATTATAGCAGCACCGAGTAACATACAAGAGCTCCAGTCCTTTTGAGTTGCACTAAAGTGATTTAAAGTAGCTCTCGAGAAGCTTGTTTGTTCTCTCCGTCTGAGCTTTGAAAGCTATACCGATCGTAGGTATTTGACCATCTGATCCTCACAATCGTCTTCTAACATTATCAACCGTTAAATATCATATTTTCATAAATTGTACATAAGAAAAAAACTGTTTTCATCGTCAAAAATAACTTAATTTTCAACCTCTTGCATTGCATTATGAGCTTCATCTAGCTTTAGAGGAAAATGCTATTGAAACCTAATTTGAAGATCTAATCTAACATAGATATTGAATAAGAAATTCTTTTTTTTTTTTGGTAGATCGAAAAGTTATATTAAATTAGAAGTGTGCTCCATCTAATCATTTAAAAACTAAGAAAACCCTTTCAGGCTTATAATAAGATATTTTATTTTTTAAAAAAATATTTGAGAACCATTTCAATCATGCATTATTTAGAGTTGTGACTACAACATAAATCCACGATGCACGAAATCAGCTGTCAGTCATGTATGTCGACTTAATCATAATATACCATTAAATTGCCATGAATTTATAAATGATCATTTTGGTTTGTCTAATTATGCCCAGTTAATTGTACCTGAAATATAGTGTCTCATTTCAAAGATCATCCTTAGCATGATCGAGCTTCTTATGTTTGATTATGCTCAATCTCGATCAAATCGAGATTGATCAAATTCAATTTAAATTGAGTTTATATCCTTAGGTCAGTTTAAATTGAATATACTCTCGTGAACACATGAGTTACTAGACACGCGAGTTTGATATAGTCTATTTGATATCTTTCTATCCAACAGTCCATAAATTTGACTCTGCATTATTCACAAAATTTCGCATTTGGATANCCTCACAATCGTCTTCTAACATTATCAACCGTTAAATATCATATTTTCATAAATTGCACATAAGAAAAAAACTGTTTTCATCGTCAAAAATAACTCAATTTTCAACCTCTTGCATTGCATTATGAGCTTCATCTAGCTTTGGAGGAAAATGCTATTGAAANCTCAATTTTCAACCTCTTGCATTGCATTATGAGCTTCATCTAGCTTTAGAGGAAAATGCTATTGAAACCTAATTTGAAGATCTAATCTAACATAGATATTGAATAAGAAATTCTTTTTTTTTTTTGGTAGATCGAAAAGTTATATTAAATTAGAAGTGTGCTCCATCTAATCATTTAAAAACTAAGAAAACCCTTTCAAGCTTATAATAAGATATTTTATTTTTTAAAAAAATATTTGAGAACCATTTCAATCATGCATTATTTAGTCTATTTGACATCTTTCTATACGAGAGTCCATAAATTTGACTCTGCATTATTCACAAAATTTCGCATTTGGATAAACTCGAGCCAAAATCAAGATTTAACTTACAAGGAAATAATTTCAAGCCCCTAAACCTTAATTATTTTCAATTAGATCAAATATTTTATCAAAAAATATTCTAAAATATTTAAAATTAACCATAAAATAAAATTCATGAAAGATTTTAAATTTCTCACTTTATATCCTAAAAAATTAAATTTTTTATATNTTATCAAAAAATATTCTAAAATATTTAAAATTAACCATAAAATAAAATTCATGAAATATTTTAAATTTCTCACTTCATATCCTAAAAAATTAAATTTTTTATGTTATACATTTAAAATATTAAAAATATTACAATTTGTCCATTCTGTTAACTTATGTTATTTTTTTTTTTATCAAAAGTTAATCCATTGACGTTAACGAAAAAAGTAACAGAAAACTAATAGAAATGTCATATTACGATATTTTGATACGTTGAGCATATAATATATAAAATTTAATCTTTAAAAATAATTAATAAAAAATTTAAATTTTTGCAGGTTATAAAGTGTAATTCACCCTTTACAAAAAAGGTCTGTGATCTCCCTATTATTTATAAAGGCATAGTGCGCACTTCACCCCAACGACCGAGATAACTACTAGCAGCAGTCCTATCGCCGCGGGTATTAGTCTCAGGGCGCGCTCTGTTCCTCTGGCGCCATCTCTCTCTCTCACACACACACTTCCAACGATCCTTCGGTTAGGGTTTATATCTCTCTCGGAAGCAATATTTATTAATTTTTGATTCATCGCCATGGCTGAGTGGCAACAATATCTTCAATCAATATTCTTAGGCTTCATATTTTCTTTCCTTCTCGCTAAGCTCTTCTCTGTAATTTTCGCATTCCGAGAAGAAAATCTCCGCATTGTTCGCAGCGATTCGTTCCAAACCGAACCAAAGGGCTCAAAAAGCGAGGTCAAACCCGTTCTCGAAGATTCGGATATTCGAAATCAAGCGGATACCTCTAGGGTTTTTGAAGAGACTGTGCCATTGGTTGGTGGAAGAGGCGATCAGAGTTCGGTGATTGGTGCTGGCGATGATTATGATGATAGTGACGATGATTGGGAAGGGGTTGAGAGTACTGAACTTGATGAGGCATTCAGTGCTGCTACGGCGTTTGTGGCCGCCACCGCCGCTGATCGGGCATCGCAGAAAGTGTCTCAAGATGTGCAATTACAGCTTTATGGATTTTATAAGATTGCCACCGAGGGTCCGTGTACTACACCTCAGCCCTCGGCCCTCAAAATGACCGCACGCGCCAAGTGGTAATGTCCTGCGATTCTGATTCTTTGTTGTATTAATTTATTTTGAAATATGATTATGTCTTAGTAAACTCGATGCCTGGCTTTGATGGTGATAAACTTGAAGAGAGGAGCTTAATTGTTGTGGTGTGTACGAGACAATGATAAGATTTGAGGACAGAAGGTTTGGATGTGGTTAGAGAAAGTAATTTTGCAGCTAAACTAGAACATTTTCTTGTATTTTGGTTAAATTGGTAACTGATTGTTCCTAGATATTATCCTTCACTTGCTAAATTGTCGGCTGTGGAATGTGCTAAATGGTGTTCGAGAAATAACCTAGTCAATGCAGCAACATTCATCAGAGAGTAATGTGGTGTAGAAAAAGTTGAAGTGAATCCCAGGGATTTATAACTTTCGTATTTCTTTCTGATAAAACTATATATCAGTTAAATATTTAATTGCTGACTATTAGAAAGATTACGATTGTGCTAGGCAAGCATGGCAGAGATTGGGTGCTATTCCCCCGGAAGAAGCAATGCAGAGGTATATTGCAATTGTGACGGAGTTATATCCTTCTTGGGCTGCTGGTTCAACTACTGTAAGATCGGAATCTTTTGTTTTATTATCATTCTATTTCTGTGCTACTTCTGTACATCTGCTTAACCTTTTTTTTTTCTTGTTCCTTGTCTTCTACATGCCGATAACAGAAGAGAAAAGGTGAAGGTAGTAGTGATGTAGCAAGTGCAGATACTAAAGGACCTATGGGACCTGTATTCAGCACCTTTGTTTATGAGGAGGAATCTGGAAATGATTTGTAAGGTTCTTAGAACTTTGACATGCCTGAGTTCTATTGTGTTGTTGGTTTGTTTTATGTGTTTGGGACCTTCACTTGTTTGCATAAAGGTACCTAGATATCAATTGACTGGTATCTTGGGCTAACAGCAACTTTAGGCCATTATACGGAATTTTCTGTTTAAAAAATATAAGATAAAATATGCATACTAGTGTCTCGTAGACCATCTGTGCATGTACATGCATTGATTCAGCACTGCTTGAGTTAACTAGAGCCCGTTGCCTCTGGAATTATGGATGGAGACCTTTTCAAAAAAAAAAAAGAAAACCAATACTAAAGTGCAATTCTGACGATTTCCCGCACAATTTTGTGATTAATGTTTGTCTTTAATTCTCACTTGCTAGTGTCACTGGGTAAGAACCAGTTATCAATCGCATAATGAGGTGGAATTGCATGGTTATCATGACATAAATAATCCTGATGCTCTTTCCTACTAGAGTATGGGGACAGTGACTGACTTTTGGCTTTATATTTGGAAAAGTGCTGAGTTTATGACTTGTTGTATTTTGTTACTAAAGTCATTGTAACATATTTATGGAATGCTGGATTTTCGAACCCGAGCACATCAATATGTGAATCATTTCCTTTTCAAGCTTTTCCCCCTATAAAGGGACACAATTCCTGAGGGGGAATTTTCATGTGGGTTGGCTGCTACTTTTTTAGTTGGTCATGCAGTTCTTAATGTGTCTTTCCCTTTCAGAAAATTGGATGCCATACATGCCTTTGCAAGGGAAGGAGATCTGGAGAATCTGCTTAAATGTGTGGAAAGCGGTGTTTCAGTGGATCAAAAAGGTTTGTTACTTGTTTGTTGTCTTATTCGGTACTTTTTGTGTTCAATTGATATCTCTGTTTAGATTTTATAGGTAAATTCTAGAGTCTGATTTTGATACTTGATAGGGTAAATCATACTTACATTTTTTGGCTAGGCCCATTGAGTATTTGATTGAGTGAAGGTGAAACTCAAGTTACAGGCTATATTTGTAATCAGCAAAGTTTGAGCAGCACCAGGCTCGTCGCAATTAGGATTGTAAATAATTGAGATCACACCGTGTATTGGAATACTAAAAAACTCTTCGGGAAAAATGATAGGATTTTACACATGCAGTCAGTGAGTTGCGACGAGAATTAATTATGTCTCAGGAGTGTGTTCTAATAACTGATTTGCATTGGTTAAGATATGTCCTGATAATAAGAGGCCAAGCTTAATTGCATGTTATTTCCCAGCTTGGCTTGGCATGTTATTTATCCTTAGCGTCAATATTCCCCATTCTTTTTTGTAAAGATGTTAAGTGAGAACTTTTCTTAGCATTTTGATGCACTCAACATAATCCCGCATCCTCTTAGAGAGTTCTTGTGAAATGATTGCAGATAGTGAGGGTAGGACACCATTGCATTGGGCTGTAGATCGCGGTCATCTTAACATCACAGAATTGCTTGTAAGCCAGAGTGCTGATGTGAATGCAAAGGTAATCTAAATGTTATTATGGTGATCTCTGTCAGATACTAATTGATTGTGTTGCTAGTTTTTATGTTGCACCTTTATGTTGTTGAATGTGGACGGAGATGGTTTTGAACCAAGTAAATTTGGTTAGTGCCTTGCCATTCATCACATAAAATCCCCTCCCTCTCTGTGCATGAGTGTGTGTGTGTGAGATAGATTGTTCATTCATGTAACACTCCTTCCTTTCAAAAGAAAAGGGGAAGAGTAGGATCAGGCCTTTTCTTTACTGTTGGATATCCCCTATATGGGACGCATAAATGCCATCTCTAACTCTTGGAGAGGCATAAATGGCAACATTTAGTATCTTTTAGTACCTTCTAATGAGCAAACTGTTTAAATAGAGTCAGCATTTAGACTCGGCAGCAACTGCAAAAACTTTATGTAAATTTGGCTATAGGAAACGTACTGAAATGTTTTTCATTGAACGTAGTTTTTCTATATGGTATATCATTCTGCGAGTGTTTGATTTTCTTCTTATTGTTTTCTGCGATGGAGCTCAATTTGATTGTTTTTCACATTTCTTGGATTATTGTTATTTGAAGGACAATGAAGGCCAAACACCATTGCATTATGCTACTGTTTGTGAGAGAGAAGCTATTGCTGAGTTCCTTGTGAAGCAAAATGCTGACGCAGATATAAAGGACAATGACGGCAACTCTCCTAGTGATCTTTGTGAGCTGAACTGGCCTTGGATGCAACATGTGGCGGCCAGTCTGACCAATGATTAATATTTGAGTTGCTCTCCCAACTAATGTAATCTTTGATGATATCTGCTGGATGTACATGACAAATTACACTCTAGCTTTCCCCCAACTTATCATATATTTAGATGGGTAATCGTTTTTATCCGCACTTGATGGTTGAATTCAGATGGTGAAATAGAATACATTTGATATACGAAAGTGACCCTTAGAGTGTCATTTCTGTTTTGCTCCTCTAATTATTCTGAATGTGTATTGTGCAAAAATTTTAGTTCAGAATTGGGGCTATTCTTAATGGTATAATAATTGTTACAATGCAACTGTTGTTTTGTACTGTTCTGAAAATATCTATATTGTATTTCTTGATGCATGCCTTGTCTCATATGTGGTCTAATAGTTGGGGCAACAATTTGGACTTGATTACGAAGTTGACCAACCTCCTCGATAGAGCCATGTGAAATGGACCGGGTGAGTGAGGATGTAGNGTTGGGGCAACAATTTGGACTTGATTACGAAGTTGACCAACCTCCTCGATAGAGCCATGTGAAATGGACCGGGTCTGTGGACTGCTTGCCCAGCCATGCTTGACAGCAGTCTCTTGTCATACGTACGTTGCTCCATCTCGGAATCAAGACCTAGAGTGTTACAGTACAGCTTTGTCGCAGGAATCATGACACTCCCTGCCCTTGCCTTTAACCAAAAGGTATCTCAAACTCAACTGTCCAATTCATTTTTGGAACCGGGAAAATGTATGCAAGTTTTCATTATGAAATTTGATGAATATCTCTATACATATTTTTCAAAAATGGCAAAGAGGGAAGGAAAACCTACCAGGCTAGCACCAGGGAGTGGCGATCTCCCAATTGGTGTTTGTTTCCTCCTGTCTTCTACTTGCTAACCCTACTACAAAAAATTTGTAAAGTAACCATCAGTAGTTTATCCTATCGCTAAATCTCTTTGCACAAACAATAATCTTGTTATCTCTCTACAGCTCATCATTGGAATCATCATCTTCCTCTCCTGATCCACCTCCAGGGGCTCCTCCTCCGGACCTATGATAAACAGAGGTAATAATTGGGTTGCACACAGACTCAACTTCCTTCAGCTTCTCCTCATAATCCTCTTTCTCAGCAGTCTGATTGTCATCCAACCATTCGAGGGCCTCTTTTAATGCTGTCTCAATCTTCTCCTTCTCATCGGACTCTAGTTTATCAGCGAGCTTATCCTTGTCGTTGACCTGAGCCTTCATGTTGTAGACGTAAGTCTCCAAGCTGTTTCGGGAATCAATTTTCTCTTTGACTTTCTTGTCTTCCTCGGCAAACTCCTCAGCTTCTTGGACCATTCGGTCAATCTCCTCCTGACTCAGTCGACCCTTGTCATTGGTGATTGTGATCTTCTCATATTTTCCTGCGGCCTTGTCTTCGGCCTTAACATTTAGAATACCATTGGCATCAACCTCAAATGTTACTTCAATCTGAGGAGTTCCTCTGTTTGAGCAAACAAACAAGTTTCTGTAAGATATGGAAAAGGAACCCAGAATAAAAAGCTCTAGATTGTACACAAGCAAATAAGAACCTTGGAGCTGGAGCTATTCCAGTCAAGTCGAACTTCCCAAGCAGCCTGCAGTCCTTTGTGAGACTCCGTTCACCTTCAAAGACCTGTAGGTTAGCCAGAACAGATGGTGTCAGCTAATTCCATTAAAAAGCCGACTGGAGCTCTGATCATACTGTAAATCCAGGTGTGTCTTATACTTCCACCAGGTGAAGTAGGGAAGCCTGTCATTCAAAAAGATGCAGTACCTGAATAGTAACAGTTGTCTGTTGGTCTTGGTAAGTGCTGAAAACTTGAGATTTTTTGGTTGGGATGACGGTGTTTCTAGGGATCAGCTTGGTCATCACACCACCAACTGTTTCAATACCAAGACTGAGTGGGGCGACATCCAAAAGAAGGATATCTGATGGAAATAAAAGAAGATGCAGTAGTCAGTATATCAATATTTTAGCTTTACTCTGACATGGTTGGTAACTTAATCTAATAATGATAACTCACACAAAATAGCTACTTAGAAAGATATATAATACCTTTGGTTTCATCACCACCTTCGCCACTCAATATGCCTCCTTGTACAGCAGCACCATAAGCAACTGCCTCATCTGGGTTCACACCCTTGTTAGGCTCCTTCCCGTCAAAAAATTCCTTTAGGAGCTGTTGAACCTTGGGAATCCTGGTGCTTCCACCAACAAGGACAATCTCATCAATCTGGCGCTTCTCCAATCCAGCATCCTCCATGGCCTTCTTAACAGGCCCCATGGTCTTTCTGAATAGATCATTGTTCAACTCCTCGAAACGAGCCCTGGTAAGTGGTTCAGAGAAATCTACACCATCAAAGAGAGATTCAATCTCTACACGGACTTGATGCTGACTGCTCAAAGCTCTTTTGGCACGTTCACTTTCTCTCCTCAGCTTCCCAAGAGCTCTGTTGTCCTTGCTAATGTCCTTTCCATGTTTCTTCTTGATTAATTTAATGAAGTATTCCATGATTCTCTGATCGAAATCCTCACCTGTTGAGTAAATAAACCAGCTTACTATGTGCTTAAACACTTCTAGTCGCAACCCTACCACAATTTTAACTCAAGCCATGCAAAATCGTATGCATGGTAACAATTAGATCGCAAATGATAGGTTTTGTTATTTAGTGAAGACCATATATCCTCGAGTTACACTGCTAGATGAGTAAACACCATTATATTTTTAGCCAAACTCCAAAATGGCTCAAATATTGTGTAGTTTTGCAACTAAAAAGAGTGAAATGGCCACAATGGTAGCAATTTGGTTCCTTACCTCCCAGATGAGTGTCTCCATTTGTGGCAAGAACCTCGAAGACACCATTGTCAATAGTCAAGATGCTGACATCGAATGTCCCACCACCAAGATCAAAGACTAGGATGTTCTTTTCCCCACCCTTCTTGTCCAAACCGTAGGCAATGGCTGCTGCGGTTGGTTCATTAATAATTCTTACAACATTCAATCCAGCGATTACACCAGCATCTTTGGTAGCCTGCCTCTGGGCATCATTAAAGTAAGCTGTAGAGTTCACACAAGAGGAAACAAATCAATCTCTAGAGTGATATAACATTCTCACTTCAACATAAGTGTAACTAAATAGTATAACTTTACCAGGAACAGTCACCACAGCATCCTTGATTTTCTTTCCAAGGTATGCTTCAGCTGTCTCCTTCATCTTCGTCAGAATCATGGCGCTAATCTCCTCAGGACTGAAGACCTTGGTCTCCCCATCTTTGATCTTGACTTCTATATAAGGCTTCCCATCCTTATTCACAATCTTGTATGGAACAAGCTTCATGTCCTTTTGAACCTCCTTGTCATCAAATCTATTAAGAAGCAATGTCAGAGGCCTGATAATTGCTAGGTATCTTTACCCCACATATATAACAAAAATGGAAATGAAAAGTAACTAAACATTACCTTCTCCCAATAAGTCTTTTGACATCGAAGATGGTCCTCTCGGCATTAACCGCCGCCAGATTCTTCCCTGCCTCACCGATCAATCTCTCACTGTCAGTGAAAGCCACCCATGAAGGGGTAATGCGATTACCTTGGTCATTCGCTATGATTTCAACATGTCCATTCTTGTAGACACCAACACATGAGTAAGTTGTGCCTAGGTCTATCCCAATAACGGTTCCCAATTTGGTGGCTTCCTCTTTCGCAATAGAAAATGTAAGCAAGCATCCTGTTAAAGAACTAGGTCATTCTCCATGATTTAACCAAGCACAATGAACAACACATGAAAACTCTTGAAATTTCACTCGTTCTCTATGCATTATGTATTTGATTTATCCAACTGTACAAACATATATTGCAGATTTGTAAACAATGACATCTATATCAACATTATGTATTTGATTTATCCAACTGTACAAACATATATTGCAGATTTTTAAACAAGGAAATCTATATCAACATTAAGCCACTCCTTACGCTCCAAAAATGACAAATGACATTCATCCCACAACATTTTTCAGATAATTAATCATTCGCAACATATAACGCANTATGTATTTGATTTATCCAACTGTACAAACATATATTGCAGATTTGTAAACAATGAAATCTATATCAACATTATGTATTTGATTTATCCAACTGTACAAACATATATTGCAGATTTTTAAACAATGAAATCTATATCAACATTAAGCCACTCCTTAAGCTCCAAAAATGACAAATGACATTCATCCCACAACATTTTTCAGATAATTAATCATTCGCAACATATAACGCAATCGCACGAATAATGACCTATTTCAAACCAAAATTTGGTCCTAATCAGCGAAGCGCACTCTAATGCCATCACATCAATGCGCTTCAAACGCTCATACAAAAACGATCTGAGCCATTACAATCGCACACAGCAGTCAAAACGAGTATTGAAATCGAAGGAATCCAAATCCAAAAGGTTAAAAGAAGAAAATACAACATTGACATACCGAACAAGACGATTCCGAAAAGGATCAACGACACGCGTCTCCTCCAAGCACCAGCCATCCCGTAAAGAAAGCTCCGAACTCTTAACTCTTACGTTTCTCTCTCTTTCGCTTCTCAACAATGTCCCCCACAAGGTTTGATTTAGATGAAGAGAATGAAGCCACAGGTTTATATAGTAGCTCATATGTGGAGGGTCGTGGTCGAATGAACCGCAATAACGTGTCATTAGTGATGACGTGGACCAATCAGCTTTTGAGACTGGCGGAGTTTAGTGTTTGAATGACAACTCGCGTCATCGGTGATGACGTGGACCAATCAGCTTTGGAGACATGTGGAGGTTAATGTTTGAATGGCGGGTGTCATCGGTGATGACGTGGACCAATCAGATTTTGAGGCTGGTTATATCGGCCAATCACTTTCGACCATGTTGTGGGACTGTTTCGACCGTCGGTTTGTCTTCTTCTAGGACTAGAATTATATATCATAAAATCTCCCTAGTAATCTATGTTTTTTTCTTA